TGCGACCAAAACTGCGGGAGGAGGAGTCAACCGAAAAACGTATGGAAGAAGAAGAATAAGTGTGAGGAATAATAGTAATGTGCTTTTCCAGAGACACTAACTAGACTAGAGAATATGGAAAGAAACATATTTACAGAACAGAGACACAAATAAATGTGTGTTTTTGTGAGCACGTGTGTGTGTGTGTGTGTGTGTATGTGTAATTTATAAGAGAAGTCCTCTCTATGTCATTAAAAAGCTGCTTAATTAAGACCATGAGGAGATTCTCCCCAGGGGGACTCCTCTGTGCTCAGTATGTGTGTGTGTGTGTGTTTATTTGCTTGAACATAATTTAAGCCATCAGATGCTGAATATCTGGATCTTATACTGATATTGATAACTGGGAATAAAAATTACCAGAGAAAGCAGACTAGTGTAACATTTGTATCATGTGTGGCAAAATGACCCTCTAATGACTTCACAGCACATACTGTATAAGACCTTAACACAGGTTTGTGAGGTCCACCACCAAACACAATTTAGGTTAACAGTACAAATCATTTTTACAGGTTTTTGTGATTACGTTTGTTACTCACATTGTTTCCCTCTGTGTGGCTCTCAGGCAGACACAGACAGCGGTAGGGCATCACACTGGTATCACAGTGGTCTGCATGGCCATGACACTCACATCTGCTGGGCGGATGGCAGAAAGAAAGACAAACACATGGCGCTTAAATGTACAAATTCGATAATTAAAATGAATGAAAAAAACATCATGAACAGCAACATTATGACAAAAGCTCTCCCTACTTCAAAGTCTGTGTTGCTACCTCCTCCATGGAACAGCAGAAGTGCCATTAGGAAGTTCCCATTCAACATTTATGAATGCCATCCTCTTGTCATTCCCTATTATAAATGTGTGGACCCATCCCAGGAATTTTTCTTGGACTTTCTTTTCTTTTTTAGACTTTAAATTACTTTTTTTCTGCTGCCTTTTTGGTAGCCCTTTATTTTAATACAGTGTGAAGCTTAAAACTAGTTAGGACATCCTCAAAAGATGAACCTTAACTTAAAAAAAAATTTTAAGTTAAGGTTTTAATAAAAACTATGAAAAAATCATGTTTAAAGAGACAGGTTCCTTCAGTATTTACAGTAGCCCGTTAAATAGCCTTTAAAAATACACTGTGTGTTATTGAGTTTTTAAAATGCCAGCTCTAGCCTGCAGAGGCAGTGGTGAGTATGAACTTTAACAGTTATATACCTGCAGGTCCCCTCTTGGCTAAAAACAAAATCAATTCACCAAATTCCACTGGGCACAACTGCGATGCATTTGCCACGGTTGCCAAAGATGATCACACCTGTTCTAGACAATGCTTGAAATTCCACCAGAAGCACTGTGGCATGTCTCTCGACTTTGCTCGTATTTGACACTATATCAACACTGTGGCACTGGGACAGAAGTCAATCAGTCAGAGGAGATTTTTAGTGGAGAAACACACTGTCTTGTATACTTCTTAAGAACAAAATACACAAGTAAACAATGCCAGGCAGGAAACACGCTCTGTAGACGCTCCAATTCTGAAATGCTCTTGTGGAATTTGAATACGCGCGGATCACAGAGCCAGGTCCACTGTTGGATAGGTACACACACACACATATACACATTTGTACTGCAGGAGAGTAATTTAATTATTCATTTAGATTGACAGTTGGTTTCTGTCTTTCATTCTTCCTTTTGTGTCCTTTCACCTCTTGTTCTCTTCATAACACTTTCTGTGGCTAGAACCTCAACCTCGCTAGATTAATCAAACCCGAAGCATGTAAACACTTTTCCCTATTTGTAATTTAATTAAAAGTCTTTTTGTGGGGTATCTCTTAGCTTCATTGTCGATTAATTATTTTATTCTTTGAAGTAAAACTGAAAAAAGTGAAAAGAAAATTGCTAACTTGTAACTTATCCCGCTCATATACCAAAATAATTTAGAAGATTTAATAATTAATTAATAAAGACTTTTTTCTTGGCATATGGATAAAAAGTAGATATCCAACTTAACCATTTATTTATTCAGAAAAGGTTCACTGAGAGGAAGCCTCTCTTTTGCAGGAACGCCCTGATCACATTTACACTGTTACACATTGTTACCTGGAAGCTGCCCAGTACAACCACAGTGGTTGGGGTTAAGGGCCTTGCTCAAGTGCACCTCAATGGTTGTAATGAGGGAGGGGCTTCTTCACTTTACCCACCCAGATTTATCCTGCCAGTTACAGGGGTTGAACCAATGACCTTCCAGTCACGAGCTTGCTTCTCTAAAACTGTCCATTTACAATTAAACCAAAATTTATTTCAAGAAATTTAACAACTAATTTACATCTTTTAACACTTCAGTAACACTGTTCAGCTAGAACTGATTTGTCCATAGCAAGTGAATGCTGAAACGGCCTAAATGAAGTTTCAGCAGTGCCAGCTAAAAGTGCACTTGCCACGGGCACATGCCACAGCAGACTGCAGGGGAAAAAACAGGGTGCACTACTCAACTCTGCAGGGGCTCCATAAGGGAGGGCCACAGCATAAAATAAAGCTAAATAAATACAATAAAACAAATCCCCATGGGGGAATGCAAAAAGTCATAATACTTAAATATAATAATATTGGCAGTAATGGTAATGGTTAGTGGAAGCATTTCACTCTGCTAAACTGATAATTAGCTGCTTGATTAGATGAACAGAATCACTCAAATAGATTCATTATGAACTTGCCAATACACACTGAAAAAAGGCGTCTTGACATGGCACGCAACGTCTGTGTTGCAAAATTAAAAAAGTTTGAATGGAAGTGCGGCCCTAGTTCTTTGCTCATGAAATTATGAGATATTCACCAGTAGCTTATTTAATTTAAATAAATCCAACTCTCAAGGTTTTGTGATCACTGATTTGCTGTAACATTTTCTGTACCGCAAGCTTGTTAAAAGTACAGTTAAGTATCCTTTTCTGTCAGCCATGATTTTGTACCTTTAAAACTAAACAAAAAGGTCCACAGTTATCACCTTAAGGGACCCTTTTTATACCTTACAGGGAACTTTTCTGACAAACGTACCTTTGGATACAGAAATGATACCTCTGTTTCTCTGTGTGTAATGTAATGTGAGAGTTGTTCTAATACATAGGGCAAACAATGCTCATGAGTGTAAACATACACAAAGACACACATGCTAAAGTTATGAGTGTACTTTCTCTTCCCAGCACGCCTATTTACATGCTTTATAAAGAATGAATAGAGATGGAATAAGAATGAAAGAGATGGGGGAGACGGGGAGGGATGAAGAATGCACAGATGAGATTTCAGCAGCTCTAAATCTCTGTTTCTCCTACTTCACTGTAACAAGCTACTAATTAAAACAGCTTAGAGGGAGGGAGAGAAAGAGTTAGAGATGATTGCCTCCTGCATAATCCTATAATTACCACAGTCATAAAAAACAGTCACTCTGTCAGTCTAATGAAGAGATGTGTTCACAATTACTCTCAGAAAGCTCTGCTGAAACTCAACAGTCTGTGTCAAAATATTTTTCTCGATGTCAAACTGCTCACATATTTTTAACAAATCAGCACTGAGAAGATCTTCATGTGTTTCTTTCAACCAATTATGCCACTAAAATACAATTCTGACAAGTGACTTGTGACTTGAAAATTAAAAAAAAATTACATATGGTGGTTCCTCTACATTAATTAGTAGGGATGTCCCGTTCCGATCTCAACGATCGGCATCGACGCAGATCAAGGCATTTCTTAACTGATCGTATCGGCTATGTTGAGATCTTTTGTTTAAGTCAGCTGTTCGCCAACTCTCTCGCAGTTTATTTTCCTCCATCCTGCTCTGCCTGTGCTCGGAAAGAGAGCAGTAGATATCCAACACAACCGCACTCAACACGCCACTGCAAGTGCAACAAATGTCCCGCAAACAGAAACCCACTAATGTTTAATAATAGTTATTTAATGTAAGAGAAAAAAAGAAAAAAGATGTACAGACTGTTGGAGTAAACGGGATATCCCTATTAATTAGTAAAATTGTTAACACAGATATATGTCGTGCTGCCAACTAGTAGACGTGAAATAAAGCCAGTAGTCAACTAGTTGTAGCACGTTTATGATATAAAAACAATAATTTAAACATATATATTTTAACAGCTGC